ATCACAATATAACTGGGAAAAAAAGGAGAGAAAGAGAGAGAGAGAGAGAGAGAGAGAGTGTGTGTGTGTGTGTGTGTGCATCTGGTCATTTAAAGAATTTATGCTAATCAATATACTACTACAAATTATTGACAGATTCATGTAGTCTTGCATATTTAAGCCGTACAGCTACACGACATGTACATATTTATATACTTACACATCCTCAAAATCCTCAATAGAATGAGCCGGGCTAAAGAGATTCAACAAACCGATAACCTGAAGCAACAAGAAACAAAAGAGAAACATTCCTTACATAATTGCCATCATTATAACTAATCCTATTATCATCAATATCATTCACAGTAGTAAATATAAAGTACAAAATACATAATCATAATAATAATATATGAACATGTACATGTATATATGTCAAACCATCATTATGATATCTGAGATGCCGGTATTGGCCATTGAAAGTAATGGAGAACAAAATGTGGTACAACTCATGTTCAGGGTTAAGACTGTTATCTTAGTGGACAGCCACAGCAAAGATTTAGGAATGCAGCAAGTATGACCACAATAAAAGATTTAGGACTCCAGAACAAGATTAGCAATATAGATAGAGGCAGTTACTATGGTGGTGGCCAGAGAAACACACTATAATAACATAACCTCAAGCCTGTATGTCTTACACAAAATACAATACAAATGATAATAATTATGTATAAACATATATACATGCATAAGGATCATAACCATTTATTATAATTAGGATACAGGAGTAACTGATACTTTCAAGATCACACAGAATATATTCTGCAATAGCAGTGTATACTTGATAGCACTGGTGGTGGCAGCATAGTGCATTTATCTATCTTCAGGTAGGTTTCATCATATACAGTGTCACTGGGTTTGTTCAACCAACAACAACAAACTTACATTCTTGTGGTTCACCATCTTCATCAGTTTCAGTTCCCTAAACGCTCTCTTGGCATAGGTCTCGTTCTGGAAAGGTTTTACAAGCTTCTTGATGGCTATCCTCTCTCCTCTAACAGAATCTTTAGCAGAACTGGAGATGAGAAAAAGAGAGAGAGAGAGAGAGAGACAAAAATAAAAAAGGAGGGAATAAAAGAAATACAATTGATTCTTTTCTTATCAGTAACAAGTAATCCTTTACAAGAGGCCTAGGGAATATTTAAACTACAACCTAACAGCTGCTACTAAGAAGACGCTAACTTGACACACGTCATAGCTAACATCAGCAACAAGTATAGGCTGCCAGGACTCAAACAGCTTTTATGTACGGGCGCAGTATATGCTATAACGCAACCAGCTGCCAAGAAATGAGCTAGATTTACTCAAGCAAATAAAAATCCCTGGCAATTACATAGAACAAGGCTACAAAATAATATA